GAGCTTGCTTCTCCCTCTGCCTGTGCTGCCTCTCTCTCTGTGTCTCTCTCATGAATAAATAAATAAAATCTTAAAAAAATCAATTGGCTATTAACATATAGGTTTATTTCTGTACTCTCAATTATTTTTCATTGGTCTATATGTCTAGCTTTATGCCAGTATCTCTGTTTTGATTTACAATAGCCTTGTACTAAGGTTTGAAATTAGGATGTATGAATCCTCCATCTTTGTTGCTCTCTTTTCAAGATGGTTTTGGCTTTTCTGCATCTTTTGCAATTCCATATGAATTTGGGGATCAACTTTTCTATTTCTGCACAAAAGGCTATTGGAATTTTGATAGGGATTATATTGAATCTGTAGATTGCTTTGGGGTAGTATTGCCATCTTAGCAATATTGAGTCTTCTTAAATTGGTACTCTGAGACTAATTCCAGTGTGTGTGTGTTCCACACATCAACAAGTAATTCTATGACACCAGCTGTGTGTCCTACAGTTCAACTCAATTCTCACACTTGGAGGTGGTGTCAAATTCTGCGAGTTGAAGACTCAGTCCTACCAGATTACTGCCTCCCCACTCTCCTTTCAGATGCCAGTTGCAAGTCCAGGTTGTTACCTGTACTTCTGATGAACTGGCTATAAATCAGAGGTTTCCATGACATTCTCCTCAGGTTTGATTAATTTGCTAGATGGAATCCATCGATAGAGTAATGACTAAGGTGCATGGAATTTTCATGCCCTTTCGAGCCTTGCCATTCTTCCCAAATCTTCACATGGTCACCAACCTGGAAGCTTTCAGAACCCTCTCCTTTTTCTTTCTTTCTTTCTTTTTTTAATGGAGCTTCCATTACATAGGCATGACTGATTAAATCAGTAGCCATTGGTGATTGATCTAATGTTCACTCCTTCTCTCCTTCCCAGAAGTCAGGGGGGGTGGGACTGAAAAATTCCTACCCTCTCTGATTGCACGATTGGCTGCTCTGGCAACCAGTCCTCAGCCTTAAGTGCTTTCCAAAATCTACCTCACTGACAGAACAAAAGACCTTTACTGCACTCATCACTTAGGAGATTTCAATGGTTTTAGGACCTCTGTACCAGAAACAGGATGAAGACCAAATATGTGTTTCTTACTGTAAATCACAATGTCACACTATCTATGAACATAAGATGTTTTCCAACTTCTAGGTCTTCAATTTTTTTCAGTAAGTTTTTGCAGTTTTCAGTATACAGATAATTCACTTCCTTGGTTAAATTTATTCCTAGGTGTTTTGTTCTTTTAGAATTATTATAAATGGAATTACTTTCCTTTTTGGATTGTTTACATTGCAGTTGGATAGAAACACGACTGATATTTTATATTGATAATATCACCAAAAATATTAAATTATGAGGAATGAATTTAACAAAAGTTGTGTTAAGATTTGTATATTGAAAACCAGAAAACAGCAGGGCAGCCCCGATGGCCCAGCGTTTTGGTGCCACCTTCAGCCCGAGGTATGATCCTGGAGACCCAGGATCGAGTCCCACATCAGGCTCCCTGCATGGAGCCTGCTTCTCCCTCTGCCTGTGTCTCTGCCCCCCCCTCTCTCTGTGTGTGTGTGTGTGTGTGTGTGTGTCTGTCATGAATAAATATATAAAATCTTAAAAAAAAAAGACCCAGAAAACATTGCTGAAAAAATTTTTGAAGATCTAAATAAACAGATTTGCAATGTTAATGTATTGGAAGATTCATGTTGCTAAGATGTCATGTCTCCCCAAACTGACCTTTTGATTCAGTGCAATCTTAATCAAAATCCCAGTAGATTTATTTTTCATAGAAATTGACAAGCTGATTTTAAAATTTATTTGGAAATATAAACACAACCTTAGTTAAGAGGGTTTGGGAAAAGAAGAACAGTTTAAGGACTTACACAACCAGATTTCAAAACTTAGTAAAAAGCCACAATAATCGAGACAGTGTGTTATTAGTGGAAAGAAAGGTACGTTCAGTGCAACAGATTAGTGAGAATAGACCTGTATCTATAGTTGTAAACAACTGATTTTTGACAAAGGTGCCAAGGCAACTCTATGAGAAAAGATAATCTTTGAAATAAATGGTGCTGTATCGATTTGATACCCACCTGCCAGTGTACCCAGTCCCTTATTTCATATTGTATAAATAAATTAACTTCAAATGGGTCATACATACACACACACTTACACACACAGTAGAATATTAGTCTGAAGGAAAGAAGGAAATCCTGCATTTGTGGCCACATGGATGAACCTGAAGTACTTTATGCTAAATGAAATAAGCTAATATCAGTAACAAATATCACATGATCTCATATTTAAAATGAATCTTTTTTTTTTAAGAAAAAAAATTTTTTTAAAAGATTTATTTATTTATTTATTTATTTATTTATTTATTTATGATAGACACAGAGAGAGAGAGAGAGGCAGAGGGAGAAGCAGGCTCCATGCCGGGAGCCTGATGCAGGACTCAATCCCGGGACTCCAGGATCGTGCCCTGGGCGAAAGGCAGGCGCCAAACCGCTGAGCCACCCAGGGATCCCCCCCCCCCTTTTTTAAAGAGAAGTTGAACACATTATAACAGAGTAGGATGGTGATTACTAGAGACTGGGGGTAGGGGAGAAGGAAAGATACTGCTTAAAGGGAAAAACTTTCCATTACATAATTAAGTTCTGGAGCCCTGATGTGACCATGGTTTGAGTATGGTTACTGTGTGTACTTGAAATTTGCTAAGAGAGTAGATCTTAAATGCTTTTGCCACATACCAAAAATTAAATTATGTGAGATGATAGATATATTAGCTTGATTGTAATCATTTCACAGTTTATACATATAATCAAAAGATCATGTACATCTTAAATTTTTTTCTCATAGCTCAATAAGGCTGCAAAAATTGATTTTTGGCTTCATTAAAGTAAAAAAAATACTCTTCAAAAGAAATTAAGTAAGGAAATGAAAAGGCAGAACAAAGACTGGCAGAAAATATTTGCAGTATATACATCCAACCAAGGTTATTTATTCAAAATATATAAACAACTCTTACAAGTCAATAAAAGGAGATAACCCAGTAAAAAGAAGGGTAAAGTTTTTTTTTTGATTTTTATTTATTTTTTTTATTTACTTATGATAGTCATACAGAGAGAGAGAGAGAGAGGTAGAGACACAGGCAGAGGGAGAAGCAGGCTCCATGCACCGGGAGCCTGACGTGGGATTCAATCCCAGGTCTCCAGGATCGCGCTCTGGGCCAAAGGCAGGCGCCAAACCGCTGCGCCACCCAGAGATCCCGGGTAAAGTTTTGAATAGACACATCACCAAAGAAGATCCACAAATCACAAATAAACAAATTAAAAAATTTTAAGATCTGTCATTAGAGAAATGCAAATTAAAATTATGAGATATACCTTTGACTTAAAATGACTGGTAATACCTAGTCCTGGAGTGGATATGGATCAAACTGACCTCTCATATATTACTGGTGGGAATGGAAAATGTTATAACCACTTTTTTTTTTTAAGATTTATTTATTTATTCATGAGACACACACACACACACACACACAGAGAGAGAGAGAGAGAGAGAGAGAGAGAGAGAGAGAGAGAGAGAGGCAGAGCACAGGCAGAGGGAGAAGCAGGCTCCATGCTGGGAGCCTGATGTGGGACTCGATCCTGGGACTTCAGGACCACGCCCTGGGCCAAAGGCAGATGCCAAACCGCTGAGCCATCAAGGGATCCACCGTTATAACCACTTTTTAAAAACAATTTCACAGTTTCTTATAATGTTAAATATACATTTACCATGTGACCCAGTCTTTCTACTCCTAAATATTTACCCAAGAGTTAGGAAAGCACATCTGTGCAAATGTTCAGAGCAGCATCATTCACAATAGTCTAAAACTGGGAACAACCCAAATATGCATCAGCCTGTAAATGCATAAACAATTTGTTGTATATACATAAAATGGAATCCCATTCAGTAATAAAAAGGAGCTAACTACTCATATACGTATGATCACTGATGGTGTGCAGAACCTTTTGTTAAGAATTTCTTATGATTTCTAGGAAACGTACATAGAAGGGTAATAGAAAGAAGGTCTCTGTTGCCAGAGATTTGGAGGGAATTGAGTGTACATGTCAGGAGGAAACTTTTTGGGGTGATTGAGTGGTATATATCATGATTTTGGCAGTGGTTACACGATTGTATCCATTTGTTAAAATTCACTCATTAATTTTATTCATTGTAAATTATCCCACAGTAAAGCTGAACAAGACAAAATAATTTTAAAAACTGATCAAACTTCCTTTAAGTCATAAGAAGATTGGAGAGCATAACCAGTTTCATTCTTTTTCTGGACTTTCACAAACAAGGGTCTGCATGCTTTGTCAGGAAAAGGAGAAAGGCCATCACTAAGAAGTTAGATATCTAGCTTCAGTCATCAGTTGAAGATAAAAACATATTCAGGGATCCCTGGGTGGCGCAGCGGTTTGGCGCCTACCTTTGGCCCAGGGCGCGATCCTGGAGATCCGGGATCGAATCCCACATCGGGCTCCCGGTGCATGGAGCCTGCTTCTCCCTCTGCCTGTGTCTCTGCCTCTCTCTCTCTCTGACTATTATAAATAAATAAAAAAAATAAAAAAACATTCAGAAAAAAAGTAATAATTTTACTTAAAATAAAAATAAAATTTTGCTTAAATTGAGGGCCCCAGACTTCCAATTGTAAAATAAATAAGTTACAGGGATGAAAAATACAGCATAAGGACTATAGTCTATTGTAATAACTGTGTGTGATGATGGATGGTAACTGCACTTTTTGTGGTGAGCAGCATGTATGTAGAATATGTAAAATTTTCAAACTTCTATGTTGTACACCTGATATTAACACATTGTATATCAATTATACTTTGTTTTAAAAAGTACAAAGTTTACTGTATAAAGTAATTGTTATTTTTAACTTTTTAGCTTCTTATTAACCATTGTTATTTTAATTCATTTTAGAAATATAAACCGGGTCGATGTGATGATATTTTGAAATGGAAGCCTCCCAGTCTGAATTCTGTGGATTTTCGCCTAAAGATAACAAGAATGGGAGGAGAAGGGTAAGTATACACTTTTGCCACCAATTTTACATGAAATAATACTATTTGTATAAGACTTCACTGTTTACTGGATACTTTACATGTACTTTACCCCCACAAAAGTAAAATATCTTATTTTACAATATATGTATATACCCATACATCTGATTTTCAGCTATTAGAGCTACTAACATTTTGTACTTATCCTTTAAACTTTAAAAATTTTGGTCTTTAAAAGTACAGTTATTTCTAATATAAAAAATGAACTTTGTTAAATTATAAAAGTGAATATAGATTTTACTTGAAAGTTCCTGTCAAATGAATTATAAATGTAAGATATAATCATTGTTATTATAAGTAAATGTTTTGAAGTAAGCCTTTTTTGCTTTGAAAGAAACTACTTCAAACTTGCATTTGCCTGACAAAAACATTTTTCCATATTTTAATTGTTGACTTTCATTAAGATTTTTCATAATGTTCATTGTTTTTCATTTACTGGTTGATCTTCTTTATATGACTTTATTGGTTGTGATTTTAGAATAAAAAGATGCTTTAGCCTGAATATTTTCGTTATTTTCTCAAAACCTTGTACAAATCTCTATGACCTTTTATATAAGTAAATATGGAACACCAAAATAAGAAATGTTTAATAAAGGAAATCATAAAGAAAAAGTAAATAAGATAACACTGAAAGATTAAAAGTTTACTAGTACATGCTATGAAATCCTTTTTATTTACTTGGCAAAGGTAAACTACAGATTTACTTTTTGCAGCTTAATGGAACAAAGGATATATGATCAGTTAATTTGAGTCCAGACTCCAGAAGATAAAGTTTCTTAAGAAACTGCATTTTTAGATAAAGGATACTATGCAGTGTGGTGTAATCCTAAGTTAAAAGAGAGAGAGAGAGAGAGAGAGAGAGAGAGAGAGAGAGAGTAGTTTAATAAATCATATGAGTGTCAGTTTTTATGATAGAATATTTAATATCTTACATCCTTAACTAAGAGTTTCTGACTTAGTAGCAAAGTATAGTTTAGTTGGAACAATTATCTGGGGCCTCAAATACTGTTGCTTGGGTATTTTACTCTGTATTGGTCTAAGTTCATCCAAGGATAGATAGATAAATTTTTTACTATTTATAGGATCATATGGGATACATATATATACTTTTTTTTCTCCATCAATTGATATCAAAGATTAAAGAAATAGCATTGGCAACCCAGAATAATCTTGAGTTTATTTCTTACCAATACTTATTCAAAAATATTATTTCTCTTATTTAATTTTTGGATAACTATTGATACTAGTATCGATACCAATTAAGTTTATTAACCAACAGCATCAATAAATGTTTTATATTAACATGCTAGTAATTATTAATAATAATAATAATCATATATTATCAATCAAGTTTTTAAAACTGCCCCATATATATATAAAATCTTTGGATAAGTATTGAAAAGTACTAAATTCAAGATTATTCTTCCCAACATAGTATCTGGTATGCGGATATTCTGAGTTGCCAACTTGCTGTGGAACCTGTCCATCAATAGTTATGCAAGCTGAGTGTAGACTTGATGTGTTCTCTGAAATTGCTGTTTAGAAGACTGCCTCACTTCTAAAATAGTTGGAGGCTGAGGGATTCTGATAGGCTGCCTGCATCTTTTTTTTTTTTTCTCCTTAAAAGACATAGATGAATGTAGTTCTTTGGAAATATGATTCCAAAGATGAAATAAAAAATTTTACATTGCTTTATTACTTAATTTCCTATTTTGTCTGATGATGTGTTTATAATACTCAAGCAGTGTAAGCCCTGTGTGTGTGTTTTTATTTAAATTCAATTAATTAACATATAATGTATTATTAGTTTCAGAGGTAGAGTTCAGTGATTCATCAGTCTTATATAATACCCATTGCTCATTACATAATGTGCCCTCCTTAGTGTCCATCATCCAGTTACCCCACTCCCCCACCCCCCTCCTCTCCAGCATCCCTCAGTTTGTTTCCTACGATTAAGAGTCTCTTATGGTTTGTCTCTCTCTGATTTCATCTTGGTTTATTTTTCCTTCCCTTCCTTTATACTCCTCTGCTTTGTTTCTTAAATTCCAATTACGAGATCATATAATTGTCTTTCTCTGATTGACTTATTTCACTTGGCATAATGCCATCTAGTTCTATCCACATCTTTTTTTGATGGCAGAGTCATATTCCAGTGTGTGTGTGTGTGTGTGTGTGTGTGTGTGTGTATCACATCTTCTTTATTCATTCATCTTTCAGTGAGCATCTGGCCTCTTTCCACAGTTTGGCTGTTGTGGACATTGCTACTATAAACTTTGGGGTGCAGGTACCCCTTTGGATCACTACGTTTGTATGATTGGGGTAAATGTCTAGTAGTACAATTGCTGGGTCATAGGGCTTTGTGTGTGTTTTATTGATGTTTTGTTGAGTTTTGAAATATTACTTCGTTTCCCTTTTTACAGATCATAAATCTTAGCACCGAGAAACTGTATGTGGTTCTATATTGAATGTCCATTTTCTAAGTAACAAAAATGAAGTATTAATTTTTCTTGCAGTTTTCTACTGCAGTTAAATATAGCAAAATGTAATTCAGTTTAGTAGTTTGTCATCCCAGTTTTGCTTTGTTCTTAGTATGTTTTTAAGTATATTTTCTTCTTTTAAAATTTTACCTCTTTTTAAATGTCTTCTTACAGGAAAAAAAAGGAATTATTTTTGATTCTGGTGCATCTTTAAAACACACCACCATGTCAACACTTAAGGTCATTTTATGATAGGAATGTGCAAGGTACATTTGCATAGGTACATAATTTATGTAATGTAGTGTCAGTTTTCAAAAATAGAGTATTTAATTTGAAATATGGTGTGATAACTATTACATAAAACATATGTATTATTAAGTTAGCCAGAGTAATAAGCTTTTCTTAATGTAAAGAATTAGGTATTACAGTAGTTTTCACTAAATGAGTGAGCTTTTATTTAATGCTTTGTTAAATGTTGTATGTTAGAGAGCATTTTAAGAAATATGCCTGGAATAGTTTGAAAGGAGAGTAGCCATATCTCTAAATTCTAAGAATCATAGCATGTGACCAGTGAAGTGGTACTAAGATATTAAAATACTATGAGACAAACTCATTTCCTTTCTTGATTGTACTTCTAAATATTTCTAAATCTAAAAGCTAATCTAATCTAAAGCTTAGGATGGAGTGGAATGTCTTAAAAAAATTTAAGTACCAGGCCTTAAAAATGTCTTCAGTTTTTTTTTCTTCAATGAAGTCTTATGTTTCAAAATATTGTTTTGAGTCTTACTCAGCTGCTATAATAAAGTGGGTATAGTATAGATTCTTGTTAGATTAAAATTTAATACAAATAGAAAAACGTACGTGTTAAATGCCCTTTAGATGGCATTAAAATCTAAACTTTGCTTTTTAAAACTCCTTTTAGTACCATTTCTGAAAATTTGGGGTATATTAACTTTGATTTATCATGGCCTAAAATAATTTTTGTATATATTAGCTATTTGCATTGTATTGAATTTTATAGACATACAATATAGATGTTCATCTGAGAGCTATCTTTTTTTAAAAATGTCATATTTATATTAACTTACCTGCAACCAAACTGTGGTCATTGTGTCAAAAGCTAGGATTACAGAGGTCTATCCTGGAAAGTGCAAACTCTTGCGTACAATGTTAATGGCTTATAGTGCGTAGTACAAACTTATTATTTGTATAGCATAGTAGTTTAGATGACAGATTCTGCCTGGATTTAAATATCCTTATTAACTGTGTGACACATTCCTTTTTTCTGTGGCTCATATTCTTCATTCATAAAATAGAAATCAACTTCATAAGATTTAAAAGGATTAAATGAGCTAATATATGTAAAATAGAACAGATGTTGCATGGTAAGCATTTAAATGTTTCCTGTCTTTTTTGTTTTAATTAAAATAGGTTTAAAAGTCCATATTTCCTTTTTGTCTCTCCTGCAATTCTTTTGTTTGCTGAACTGTGTAAATTCTATTTTCTATGTGAATTATTTCTCATTTGATCCTAATCCCTGTTAATTTTTCCCTTTTAAAATGCATATATCTTCAGCTTATTAATATAATTAATCATAAATTGTTAAACACCTGGAGAACAACATAATAAAGCCACAAAAGTTTTATTTGTAGAATTTTTGTAACAAATATTTTAAAATAGCCTTGGCAATATTATATAGTGGTTAAACACAGGTCTAATCGTTAAGGACATGGGTTCTTGGCCAAGACTGCACAGAATCAACTCCTAGCTCCAGTCATTTCTTGTTACTGTTACATACTTTCTTGTTATTTGATCTTTCTAAGCTTCCTAATCTCTAAAATGTCCTTAGTAATAGTTCTTATCTCATAGATTTGATGTGAAAATTTGCTTATTCTCTATAAAATTGCAGGAGTTAACAAAATAAATGTGGGTTCTGCCATTATAGACTTTGCAATTTCAACCTATTGGGTTATAAAGTGGAAAAATAATAACTGCTTTTTGAGGTTTGGTAGGGATTAAGTAAAATGATACATGTGAAGAGTGTAGCATAGAACCTAATAAATGTTTGTTTTTGTCATTTTGGTAGTTATAGTTATTAATTTAACCTCAGTAGCCTGTGTGGTTATATCATGGATTAAAAGTATGCCCTCTGGCAGCCCAGGTGGCTCAGTGGTTTAGCTCCGCCTGCAGCCCAGGGTGTGATCCTGGAGATCTGGGATCGAGTCCCATGTCAGGCTCTCTGCATGGAGACTGCTTCTCCCTCTGCCTGTGTCTCTGCCTCTCACTCTCTCTGTGTCTGTCATGAATAAATCTTTAAAAAACAAAAAGTGTGCCCTGTTTAATCAAGTCAGGGGGAAAGTGCTCTGAATGAAGCTGCACTTTTCTGTGAAAAGATAAAGATGTTTGCTCTTTCTAATAAAGAAAATGCATTCTAAAACAACAATGAAGCTTAATTTTTCATCTGTCACTTTGGCAAATATTTTG